TGTTGTTGTTGTTGTTGTTGTTGTTGTTGTTGTTGTTGTTGTTGTTGTTGTTGTTGTTGTATAGTTAATATCCATAGATGATATACTAGCAACACACGATTATACACATATTATATATGGATTATATATAAATTATAAAATCTTCAATTTTTTAATTTAAGTGGTAAGGCGAGCACTTATTTAGGTTGATTAGATAAGGCCAAAAGAAAAATATGGAAGAATCTATATATCTATATCTATATATATATTAAAGCGAGAAAGTTACCATATATAATTGACATTATGGTTAAGCCAAGTGGCAAGCTAATAAATGTCAATAGTATATGGTGACTTTATTATATTTGACTATTTTAGTTAAATACTTATATATATATATATATATATAATTTTGAATTTATATATAAAGTTCTAAAATTTGAATTTAAATTAAAAATAAAATTTATCTTTTGTTATCATGTTATCATATGCAATCATGTTAGGAACTTTTGTTATTTTTTCTAATTATTTAAATACTACTTCGCCTCTAGCAAAAAAAAAAAGTACTCCATATAACTATAAAACTCTTTCACATTTAAAATCCTATAAGTATAGTTCTTTGAAACACTGTAGCTAGATTTGAATAAAACAAAATTCTTTTAAAATAAATTTAATATATAGGGTACACATCTATGTTTATCTAAATAACAAAAATATTTTTGAACATTAGTAGATAGTTTTATAATTATTTATAATAGAAGTTATATCATGGATAAATTCAAAAAACCGAAATCTTATGGAATATTTACATAATATACGGCCATATATATTCTTTACTTTTTATAACTAATATAAATAGATATATACCGATAACACACGATTATACACATATTATATATTGATTATATATAAATTACACATCATTCAATTTTTTAATTTAAGTGGTCGAGTGAGCACCTATTTAGGCTAATTAGATAAAGCCAAAAGAAAAATATGAAACAATTTCAACCAAAGAGTAAAAATATAATTAAAGTTCATATGTAGATAATATTTTATTAAAACTCATCCTTTTATAGTGAAATAAATTAATTTTTTGTAACAAAAAATATAATGACATAAAAAATAAGATAAAAGACAATAAATATTGAAAAAAAATGTTAGAAAGATCTAAAAACGAGAAATAAAAGATGACAACACATTTCTTCTTATGTTTCATCTTTGTTGAATATAAAAAATTTGAAAGTTAATCTCATCGATTTCAAATATTTTTTTTTCCAACTCAAATACATAGATTATAAGATAAGGATATCTTAGAATATTTTTTTAATTTATATTATATATCGTTTTTAAAAATCACTATTACTAACAAACTGATATGATATTCGAATTTGAATTGAAATGCAATTTGAGTAGTTTGCATTGAGGTTAAGCAAGTATGGTATCGCAAAATAACCTACTTGACAATTTTAAGACAATATATGCAATGTTTTATAATAATAATCAACTAATTTAACATCTAATGATTCAAAGAACAATTTTTTTTTGTATATATAGGGTATTAAAAATTTAAATTCTGGGGCTAGAGATAACGATAAACTTAAAGTGGAGTCATATTGAAATAAATCTGGTCAAAGAATCATTTAAATTTTAGATAGTTGATTAAAGTAAATTTTAAACTAATGATAATATCTTCACTTGCATCATTATAAAGATAATCATTATTATAATATATATGATGTTTTAGAAATTGAAAATTCAAAATAGAAATATTTTTTGAAAGATAAAATCATACCAAATAAGAGTTCAAATCGTATTATAAGAGTCACGTCGTAATCAAAGAATCGTTTATATCGTGTCAACCTTTGTGCGTTGCCATAAACATGAGTTATTATTTCACTTTGTGGTTATTTTTAGGTTCCAATGATACCTATGAGAATAGTGCAAAAATAAAATTATCACTACGAGAATTGACAAAAATGTTAGTCTTTTTTCATGTAGTGTTTCTTAACTAATATATGACGATTATCTATAATTATTTAGAAGGTTTAAATGTTAAGGTTATTTACATATAATTCAAATAACTCAGATATTTAACATGGTTAATGTCAACTATCAAAATGGAGTAAAAAAAATTCAGCAGCTAAAGAATGTTTTATATTTTTAGATAACCAACTAAAATGAGTTTTGAATTAAGAATAATATTTTCAATTACATTATTATAAAAATAATTATGATTGAAAAATAATGTTTTAGTAACAGAAATTTTAAGAAAGAAATATTTTTTAAGAGATACAACACACCAAATAAGAGTTCAAGTAGTAGTAAAAGAGTTAAGTCTTATCCAAAGAGTCATTCATTGTCTCAACATTTGATTGTTTGCCATAAATATGAGTTATTATTTTGCTTCCTGACTATTTTTAGGATCCAGTGACACCAGCAAGAATGGTATAAAAAAATGGTTAATTTTTTTATGTAGTTAATATCCAATGATTATCTATATTTACTGAGAAAGTGTAAATTTTAAGATTACTAAAATACAATCCAAATAACTTAAATATTTGACATGATTAATGTCAGCGCATCCGCGCGGGTACTAATACTAGTAATAAATAAAGTACATAATTTATCATGATATCCATATTAATTGATGCATATTTTTAACGGATTTGAGAAAATGATTTGAAATGAATAATTAATGTTGTGGGTATAATAAAATAAAAAAAGAAATTGTCTTCTCTTGATATGCTAAAAAAGACAAATAAAAGTGAAAATCTATTTTTAAAATACTGGACAAATAAAAGTGTACGGATGGAATATATCTTTACCAAAACAGATAGCAACATAAATAATGAGAGGCTGATCTAGAAATTTTTAAACATGAATGTACCATTAAAGAAAGGACAAAAAAAAGTAATCATTACGTGGAAAATAATCTATGTTTAATTTTTTTTTGGCTAATTCATTATTTAATCAATTGCATCATTCAAACCATCGTAGAACATGAGTGCTATCAGATAATATTAGACTAATTCTAAAAAAATACATACATAAAATACCTATTTTGACGGAGAAATCATAGGTTCACTTGCCACATAATTTACCCTAAGAATCCGCCCCTAGCAACATTGACTCTCCTATCACTTAGAGGCCAGGAAAGTAAATAAGGTTAGTTATTTTACCACTCTTTGTGATAAAAAATACTCAAAAATGCCTCCTTTCCTAGAAAAAGGATAGAAAAGGAGAGAGCAGATTTCGAATATCATTGTAAACTTCAGAATTTAATAGAAATTGTACTAAATTTTAGAATGTTTTCCCATATCTTTACAATCCAATATATACGCGTTTGCCTGAACGTACATAAATCTTTGGGAAGGTGTGAGGTTCACTTGAACTCGCTTTAATTGTATGCATAGACAAAAAATATATAAAATGTATACATTACAAAATAACACTCTCATTTTGAATCCACTAAATCCAGAATTTCTTTATGTTCGAATTAATTTCCAGGCATAATATAATATTAAAGATGCATGCTCATTGATTGCCATTTAACGCCATCAGTTTATAGCAAAAGAAAACCAAAACCATGGGCTGATAATGGAAACTATTTGTTAAGCTTTCAATTTTCATACCACTTCTAGATATTCAAGGGGGAACAAAGGACACACTAATCAAAACAAAATATAAAGGGCAACCCGATGCACAAAATATCGCATATTCACATAGAGCTCGGGAAAAGGCCGTACATTGAGGAGTGTGATGTAGACGGTCTATCCTAATGTAAGTATTAATGACTGCTCCACGGTTTAAACTCGTGACCTATAGTCTATAGTCAAAACAAAATGTGGTGAGAATTAAATCTGGTATTGTTAAAAGAAAATCTCAGCACGTAGATGTCGAAGAAGAAGCTTGAGGTTTAATGGAGGCTAATGAACAGTTATCTTTTGGTTTTGTCTTTGTAGTTTCTTCTTCATCCTTGAAAATATGGCTGCACCTGCACTCCACGCTGCAAAATGCCCGATCACCCCTGTTCATGCGCAAGTATATTCAGAACAAGAAACCTTTTCATGTTAAACTTTAACTAAATGCATGTATTAACCTGATAAAAAATATTTACACAATCAAATTATTTGAGAATTCGTCTAAACCTGGTTTTGACAATAATTAAAGAGATTACTTTTGTGGCAGCATATAATTTTTCACACTATCAGATTAAGAAGGCCAACAATTTTACATGTAAGTTGTAACCATCTAGAGTTATCCTAATTTAGTAACTCAAAAATATAATAAATTAAATGACATGTTATAATCAATTAAAATAAATTTATAGTGTATTTTTTATTTATTATCAATGTATGCAGACTTTATCTCTATCCGAGGGTAGAGAGGTTGTTTCCGAAAGACACTCGGCTTAAGAAAACAAAAAAGACGAAGAAAAGAGATAATATGTAAGTACCATCAATAAAAATCATAGGAAGGGGTTTAACAACATATTATAAATAGTTAAAATCACGTTAATAATGTTAAAAAATAACAATCTTCTCCAATCAAATCACCAAAAGGAAATCTTTTTTAACTAATGAAGGAAAAAAAAAGGAAATATAAAGCTGCTTACTTGTACATGTAGATGTCTTGGCCAGGTAAGAGCTTCTGCTTACAAAGAAAACAAGAATCAAGAAATCCACAATTAGTAGTGGCCATGGCTATGGCTGCAAAAGAGTTTTGAGTGCAAAAAGGAGAGGATATTGTAATGTTAGGCGAAAAAGGTTTGATTGTCACAGTACTGGCTTTGTTGACTATATTTGAAAAAGAAGATGTAGCACAAGTTGCAGTTGCAGTAATAGCCACATTTGTTTTCGTCCCAGTTATATTTTCATTGCCTTCGAGTACTACACTTAGTCCTACCATCTCATGGCCTTTTATGTATTTTCTGAAATAACCCTATATATGGTTGAAGAGGGGATCTGGTATGGTGACTGATGATATATGGAAAAAAGCTCCTAAATATGACTAGAAGTGAAAGGGAAGAATGGAGGTCGGGTAAAATCTTATCTCGGATATTTACGTTAAATAAATATATAATATATTGCTTCACGAACATAATTATCACTAAATTAGTATATAATACATGTCTTTACGAACATGATTATCACTAACAGGATCAAACTTGGTGTTGCCACGTTACCCCATTTTCTTTTACTCTGCACCGGTACAGTAAAATCAATAATTATCCATTTATCCTGTTCTTTTATCTCTTGTTTTGTCGTTTTCTTTAATTTTCCTTATTATTATTATTATTATTATTATTATTATTATTATTATTATTATTATTATTATTATTATTATTATTATTATTATTACTATCCTCTGTTATGACTGAGGAATAGGTTGGTACATTAGATGATGTACCTTCATCTTTCCTGGATTGTATAAAATAATAAAATCCATGAATTCCTTATATAAGGAATGATCGGTATTACCTCCTGCTATATTAACAACAACTAGTTTTTGGTTTTTCATTTGGGCGAGAATATTATTCCCTCTATCATCGGTAGATGCCCTTCCTTTTCCTCTTTGTCGAGGAGGTCTGTATGTAGGCTTCATAATCTGTAGAACAAAAGAGAAAACTATTAGTTCAAATATTCTCTTGTAAGAAAATCAGGAAGGGTATTATTAGACCCTTTTTTGTATATTATTTCAAAATCAAAAAGGGCTAATAAATCTTGCCACATTGCAAACATTTGTTTGGAAATATCATGTTTAAAATCTTTATCAAAGATAAACTTTGCAGCTTAAAAATCAGTTTTAATTAAAAAAATTTGATTGTATAAATCAGTTTGAAATTTCATAACACATTTAACAATATCAAGAATTTCTTTAGCTACAGTTGCATAGTTTTTCTGGGAATCATTCCATTTTCCAGAATAAAACTGAACAAGATATTCTTGTTTATCTATTGGAGAACATTGTTTTAATATCCCACCATAACCATATCAGAGGCATCAGTTTCTACAACCTTTGCCCAAGTGGGATTAGCGAAAGTCAAACAGGGAAGGTTATTAACCTTCTGCTTTATTCTCTTGACTGATTCAGTATGACTGTTAGTCCAAGTCTTTGGGTTCTTCTTTAATGTCAGATGAACTCCGACTATTTGGAGTTATGCAAAAAGGAAATTGATTTCTTACAGCAGAAGTGTTTAATTAGACCCTCAAAGTCCAAATGGTCTTGTACTGCTTTTTATATTAATAAACATGCTGAACAGGAACGAGGAGTTCCTAGATTAGTGATTAATTACAAGCCCCTTAATAAGGCAAGTATCTGGCCATTAATTGCCATGGGTTATCCTTCCATTTAAGGTCGGATTGTTCCAAAAGAATTATTAACTCTTTTGTGTCCTTTCGGTTATAAACCTCAAAGGATGTTACTGCCATAACAACCAAGAATTTGAATACCATGCTCACTCAAAACAATTATACCAATATATATGTTAGTATTTTGGGTGAACAAGTTATTAAAATTTATGAAAAATTGGATAAGCTTATAGCTGAAGTCCAAAAAATTCAACAGAAGGATACTAAAAGTAAAGAACAAATCGCTACTACAAGTATCCAACCACCTCATGAGGTAAAAGACTTTAAATTGAGAAGTCTTGATGACATTGAGGAACTTCTAGTTCAGAAGTTGGGTGAATTTAGAGCTAACCCTCTAAGTCTAGAGCATACGTCTACTAGTGATCTAAAGGTAGATGATGAGATTAATAAAATCTCTGAAAAATATGCTCGCAAACCATACTAAAGAATATTTTACTATCCTAGACCAACCCCCCAAGATGTCCTAATAGAAGAACAGGACAATGACCACTACCACCAGGGTTATAGTGGGTCAGATATCTATGAATGGAACATAGATGGTCTTGCGGAAAGATAGATCTATACAATAGTACATAGAATGCTTATGTACAGTACTATCTCTAAAGTTAATAAAAATACAGATAGGGCAATTGCAGAAATGATTATTGCTGGATTAACTGGTCAGCTAAAAGGCTGGTGGGATAATTATCTCACCCATGACCAGCGCTTTCAAATAATGAATGCGACCAAGACTGAAGAAGATAGGACTGTTCAAAACTTAATCTATTCCTTAGTCATGAATATCATCGAGCACTTCTCTAGAAGATGGTCTGATAATAGTGAGACCATTAGAACGATGCTCCAAAATCTGAGGTGTAAAACCCTCACATTTTTTAGATGGTATAAAGATATTTTCTTATCCAGAGTGATGGAACTACCAGAGAGTAATAATACTCATTGGAAGTCTAAATTCATAGATGGACTCCCTCCCTTATTTGCTAAAAGGATTCGAAAGGTCCTTAGAGGCACCGATATGAGTATCAATTATGATACTTACTCATATGGTAAACTTTTTTAGTGTATGCACTCAGGAAGGTTTAGCTCTGTGTAATGAGATTAAACTAAACCAGCAAATTAAGAAACATCGTCTCACTGAGAGACAACAATTGGGCGAATTCTGTGAACAATTCACCATTGACATACCTTCTAATAAGAAGAAATCCCATAAGAAACAGGATTTCAAGAGAAAAAAGGGTTCGCCTGAAAAATGTTTGAAACGTTATGAACGAACCCAGAAAAGAAAGGCTTTTCATAAATCCAAAAAGGGTTATATTAAATCAAAGAACCCTCAGGCCTGTTATAAATGTGGAAGAGTAGGCCATTATGCAAAAGATTGCAAGGTCAAAGATAAAATCAAAGACCTTGATTTAGATGATAGTATCAAAGAATCGTTATATAAGATTCTTTTAAATTCTTCACCAGATATATCTGACACTGATGAAGAAAATTCATCAACAAGTGAAGACTTACGAGTCCTTCAAGAAGAGCATTATATTTCATCTTCTGAAGATGAGCAAGAGTTCTGTGATAAGGGATAATGCTCAAATCATTGTTGTAATACTGACGATGATCTTTTTGATATTTACTCCCAATTTTCAGATTTAAAGATCAATGTCTTAACCAATGATAGCATGATAGAGCTATTAAGGGTTATTAAGGACGCTGAATTAAGGTCCCAAATTATTGATAAACTTCCTATGAATTCTGAAGTAGGAACAGAGGTGGAAGAAATTCCATCTCAAAAAGGACCTTACCATGTCTGAAATCAGAAAAATGGTGAAAGATAAGTCTCAGCCTAAAAGGATGGCTACGGTCTAACCCATGAAAATTAATGGCTAGATACTTTGATACAGCATCATACGCTACTCCTACTTATAAATACAAGATGTACTATGAGATTATACTCTCAACAACAGGGTCAGATGAAATTCAACACTTTTATCCTGCGAACACTAGAAAAACTTATAGTTTTTCAAAAATTATTATTAAGAAGGTAATACCTTCGGATGAATGGGGTATTAGTACCCTTAAGGATCGAGAATATACTCATCCTGAACAAAAGGTCTCAGTCAAATTTAATTATTGGGACTAGGTTGAAAGTTTTAATAAAACTTTTCTTTATGAGAATCCTAATAGGAGGTACTCATGGTTTATTAAACTCTGTTCTAATATGAACAGTCAACAAATTCCAAATTGATTTATCAAATGGTGGAAATTATATGGTCCATCATTAGAAATACTTCCTCCTTTATTTAAGAGCTTATATACTCAATGAGTAGACATATCTCCCAAAATTATTTCCTTACAAAAAGATAATATCTTTTACGACGGTATTGCTGCTATGTATTTTTTCATAGAATTCTCTATCCCTTGGATAATGAAATGGGACGTAGAAATTGGTTATACCAGTGAAGGAATTTCTTTCCTTCAAAGAATTGTTTATAACAAGTTCTGGACCAAATTAGTTCAGACACACCAGCAAGGAAAATTATTTGGCGAAGAATTAATTCAACAAATTAAGGATAAAATTGATATCTACGTCAAACAAGAAAAAACAGATATTAATGAAGGAGAAATCAGCCCCTTCCAACAGGTTACCAGAAAGCTCCAAATGAAAAATGGAGCTATATCCAAAAAAGAAATCCTCGCTTCATATTTCGAGAAAATAAAGAAAGATCTTGCGAAAAATTTTGAAGCAAGAATTGGAGATGATATATCTATGACCTCCCTAGCAACCACTTCAGATGAAGAAGTCTGTGTAGCAGGAGAAGCACAAAGCACTTCTAACACAGAAATAAATATGGAAGAAATTGAAGACTTTCTTGCAAAGTTGAAGGAAGTTACAGAAGAATCTTCTGCAAAGAAAAACGACAAAGGAAAAGATAAGGCATGAAGGACGAGAAGGCCCCATAAGATGAATTATTGGGGAAATAAGGACAACTTTAATAAAGTGACGAGCCCCTCCATTATTGAAGGGAATCTACTTTTATAAAGTAGTTTGTCCGGTTTTGATAATGTAGGTTTTTCTTTTTATCTTGTCGGCCATACTTGTAACTATTTTATCGGCCGTCTTACTGTTTTAATTTTGTTTGTTTGTTAGCTGATCCGTTATATAAGGATCATTTTAGTTTATGAGAAGGGGGCATTAGCCAACGCTCTGACTTCTCTCTAGTTTCTCTCTCTTGTACAAAACCCTCTCCCTTGTAATATTTTGAATTCTGAAATAAAGTCAAAAGGTCACTGGCCACAAAATCAGGTGGTCTCTGGTACTGTTCTACTCCCTCCCTTTTTAATATTTGTAGTACTGTTAGCCTAAATGATAGGCTAAATAGGTAAGTGTTAAACTATTTTTAAATATTTTTGAAAAACAGTGCAGTAAATAATTTTATCTTTTTTCCCTATGTGAAAAGATTGTTGAAGTGGAAAAATAGAATTAACAATATTTCCGTTAGTGAGCGTATAGTCTCTTTCTAGCACAGAAACATAGTTATAAACATGTTTAGACATAAACCAAGGAACAAAAGCAATAATTTTATTTTTCTTGATAATATCCTCATAAAAATCCTTTCTAAAAAATTGTATTAATTCACTAGTCATGTTTTCATGAAACCATTTTC